CTGCAAATAAGATAAACATAGACCTGGACCCTGCCCTTGTGCCCCTGAATGTCTGGTGGGAGAGGGACATTATATAGCTGTGATGAGTGCCACGAGGCTGTTGGGGTCAGGAGAGCCTTTTCTGAGGACTTGGAGTGAAGCTGTGACTTGAAGGGTGAGAAGGGCTGGCCAGGGGAAGGGCAGGGAGGGAGGAGAACATCCAGGCTGCAGGGAGCCCCCCAACAAAAAGGCTCTGAGGTGGAAGGGGTAGGGTACAGGTGATCAGAGGGGGAAGGGAAGGGATGTGTGGATTGGAGGGGGCTGGAAGCACCTGGGCTTAGCAGGGTGCACGTGGAGCCATGGTGAGATACCTGGTCTTCATCCTGAGAGCACAGGAAGGTCAGTAAGGGAGAGAAGTGATCACATTTATATTGAGAGAGGACCACTCTGGTACCTGTGTGGAGAATGAATTACACACGGCCAGCAGAGAGGCGGAGATCCCCGCCTCTCCACAGGGGCTCTGTGGAGTGCAGGTGAGAGGTGGTGGGGGACATGGACTCTGAGGTATAGCAGTGGGGAAGAGTGGGTGGAACAGGAAGTATTGAAACGGTGGTGTTAGATTGGTGATTCACTGAAAGTAGGGGCTGAGAGGGAGGTCAGAAGGACACTAGTATTTGGGGCAGTGGTCGTTTTCTTGAGGTGGGGACATGGGAAGCGGAGCAGGTTTGTCTGGGGGACACAGCTCAAGCATTCAGTTTGGACACACTGAATTAAAAGTGCCAGTGAGACAGCCAAATGGAGACGCCATGTAGTAGGTAGATATATGAGTTTGCAGCTACAAATCAATCTGAGTTGATGACAAGGTAAGTATTATGGGCACCTCTTCTATCGGATGGATCCCAATGGGTGATTCTTGTTCTAGCCTGCGGAGCATCATGAAGTAGGGCGCTATATCTCGAACTTTCCACTACTACATCCATCTTTCTCTCTTCTTGCGACCTTCAGCAATTCATCTAACCTTTCTGTGCTCCGCTATCCTCAGCACAAAATGGTGATAGCTATGTCTGCTTCAGACTACCCAGTAGCACATGTTTGAGGATCTATTAAACTGAAAATAAAATATGTGGGGCTCTTTGGAAATAAGAACTATGTTAAAACAAGGAGTTATTGTAGCTGTATGTAAGCCAATGAAAAGCAGAAATACAGCCCCAAGCCTCAGTATTGATTTTGGTCCTGGGTGCTTCCCACAGCCGAATAAATCTGACATTTCTCCCCTGAAGTGCTGGCTGAGCTGATGGCAGGTCTGCAGCTTCCAGCCTCCCTGCCCCTGCTCCAAGGTTACGTCCTTTCTCAGCTTGGGCCAGATCTGGCAGCCCCCACACCTGCCCGTGCTGCTCTGGCTGCCATTCCCACCACGGTGGGTGGGTACAAGGAAGACGCCAGTTGTGAAGCTGGAGCTTGGCCAAGAGCAGATGCCCTCTGATTAAACTGGGGACAGCCCCTGCCAGAAGAGCAGAGCTTGGGTCTGCCGAACACGGGATTTGAGGACAACCAAAGGAAACATCTCTAGACAGAGTTTTCCAACTTTAGGATGCACTAAAGTTATGGAATTTGCTTCATTCATTCATTCACTCAATTACTGGATAAGTATTTATTGAATGCCCACCGAATGTCAAGCTTTGAGATAAGCCTGTGGATATAGGAGTGAAAAAGACAATACATTTGCCCTCTTGGAATTAATATTTGAATTGAGGGAGAGACTGACAATAAACAAAGAAATAAAAGACTCTTAAGGAAACACCAGGTGCAAGGATAGACAGTAGTGATGTGGCTGGGGTGGGGAGGGCCTATTTTAGGTGGGGTGGTCAGGGAAGGCTTCAGTGAGGTAGTGACATCTGAGCTGGGATCTGGTGGCTACGAATGAGCTGACCTGTGAAGAGCACGGAGAGGACTATTCCAGGCAGAGGGCCCAGCCAGTGCAGATGACCTGAGGGGAGGACATGCTTGGTATGTGTGCACAACCATGAGCAGGAGTGTGGCTAGAATCCAGGGAATGAAGGGGAAGAGGCAGAGGCCAGATGGTGCAGGGCTTTATGAGTCATGGGAAGGAGTCTGGATTTTTGTTTTAGTGTCATGGCAAGCCACTGAAAGGTTTTATGCAAAAGAGTGATTTCTGTTTTTTTTTTTTTTTTGCTGAGGAAGATTCAGTTAGTCCTGAGCTAACACCCACTGCCAATCTTCCTCTTTTTGTGTGTGAGCCGCCACCATAGCATGGCCACTGACAGATGAGTGGTGTAGGTATGCGCCCAGGAACCGAATGTGGGCTGCCGAGGTGGAGTGCGCCCAACTTAACCACTAGGCCACTGGCACTGGCCTGAGTGATTTCTGTTTTAAAAAGATTGCTCCGACCCCTGAGTGGATAATGGGTTAGAGGGCAAAGGAGAGAATCAAGGAAACTAGCCAAGAAGCTACTACAGTCCTCCAGGGGAGAAGTGATGGCCGAGTGGGCCCGGTGGTGCCCGTGGAGGTGGAGTGAAGTGCACAGACGGGAGAGGTTGGAAGTGGAATGGATCAGCGTGCTGATAGACCGGAAGTGAGGGGCAAGGGACATGGAGGGATTGAAGATGACTCGTAGGTTTCTGGCTTGAGCAGCCACATGGATAGGGACACATTTGCTGTCATAGGGATGACTCAGAGCACAGATTCATGGAGGGAAACCTAGACTTCTGTTTGACCTGGTAAAGTCTGACATCCCCATGGGGCATCCCGAGGAGATGTCAACTATGAAGTTGGATGTGCAGCTAGAAGTCGTCAGACGCTTTGGGCTGGTAATGCAACTGCAGCGTCTCGGCACAGCACTGGATGTGAGCTGCCAGGGAGAGGATCTAGACAGAAAGAGCAGAGGGCCTGGGCCTGAGCAGCTCTGGGATATACCTGGGAATGACCAGTGGGGAGCAGAAAGCCAGCAGGGATGGTGCCACGGGAGCCTAAAGAAACTTCTCAAGGGCCAAGTAGGGGAGGATTGAGGGCTGCCCACTCGGTCTGGTGACTTGGAGGAGGTTGCTGATGGTGACAAGTCATTTCAGTTAGTCAGTGAGGATGAAAGGCAGATTAGAGTGGGTGGAGGAATGAATTAGAGCTGAGGAGGCAGAAATGACTTCTAAGCACAACTCTTTGGAGAAGTTTAGCTGACAAACTGGGCAGAGAAATGGGGAAGTAGCTGCTTATTTGGTTTTCTATGAAAGTAAGAAATGTTCTCCATCATTTCTAAACCTCTCTGCCAGTCTGATATACCCAGGACACGATATTGAAATACCTAAAATATTCCCATTATACAATAAACCGTGGAGGGCATGTAGTCCCCAGTATATAGCTGGGACTCCACTCCTTTCTCTCCCTTTCAAGAAAGCTTCCAGGAATGTAAATTAGTTAGAGTAATGTCGGGATAAGCATCCGCTACTTTTTAAGAAAAATCATAATCCAACTTCTATACATTAAACTACTTGCAACCCAATTATTTGCAGCACAAATTATGACTGACCGCATCACACATGTCAGAGCATGTTGGCTGATAAGTGTGGTTCCAGACCATGGTTGAGCACCATTCATTCATTCATTCATCAAGTATTTTATGAGCGCTTGCTATGGGTCAGGAGCTTGGCTTTGGGTGCTGGAAGCAGTGGTGAACAACCAAACATGGCCTCTGCCCTCACGGAGCTCCAGCCTGGTGGGGAGCACAGACGTGGAGTAAGTGATTTCAAGGGCAGTGAGCTTATAGTGGAGAAGCACTGTGTTCTCAAGGAGAGTGTCACCAGAGTTCTGGACTGGTCTATAGACTCTGTCTATAGTCAGTCTGAAGAAGTCAAGATGGATAAGCTGAGGGGTGAATTAATGAGGCCTGAGTTGGAGGTGAGTGTGGACAGCGGCCCAGGAAGAAGTGAATGCCCATTGCTAGAGGGAGCACATCTCTAATGAGGTCTGCACCAAGGCCAGCCTGTCCAGGAAGTCAGGGAAGGAGGAGGGAGCGCCGTGAGAGGCAGCCAGAGAGGCAGGCAGGGCCTAGACTCCAGCCAGCCAAGCATTTGGTCTTTATCAGGAAAGCAACATAAAGGGTTTCAAGTGTGTATTGAGGGGAGAGGGGTGGGCATGTTAGACTTGTTCTAAAAGAGCACTCAGATGTCTGGGGAACGGGGTGTGGTTGTACAAGAGAAAGGCGGCAGGTGTGACCTGTACACACGCAGGGGGACTGCATTAATTCCCCTGCAGCCTATTTGATCAGATGTGGCTGAAGATTTGGAAAGTGGTTGGGGAGTAGGGGGCAAGGCCAGCCTCTTGCTTCTGTGTCCTGTCCCTGAAGCAGGTCTAGTTTTCCTCTTTCCCCTCCCTTCCTCCCTTCTAGGAAAACCCAACAGGCTGGTGCTGGGGCCAGTTCTCAACGGGTGGGGACAGAAGCAGACACTGGGTTCTCTGCACCAAGGGATACCCACAGGGTCAATGTGGGAACACAAACATGTAGAAATGATAGAAATGGAGGCCAGAAGGGCTGTTTTAAGGGACTGACAGCAGTGGGCATGGTATGGGGCATAGGAGTGTAGAGACGCTGGTGGGTGCACGACCTGGGGTGGGCAGTGCAGAAATTCACTTACTCCGGGGAGGCTTTCGTAAGGAATGCTGATTCAGCAAGTCTGGGGTGTGAGCCAGGAATCCCCATTTTTAAGAAGTCCTCACCCCACCCCCCCAAGGTGATTCTGACCTAGGTGGCCCTACGACCTTCCTTTTGAGAATGCCTCAACGCTGGCCGGCTCCCTGGCCTTATATCCTCAGTCCCCTCAGCTGTCTCTCACCAGCTTGGCCCTGATAACCACATCCCTTCTGCTGGACCAGGGGCGGCGGGGGCTGTCGGGCGGGCCGCACAACATCGCACGGCCGCCAGGGGTCGCCAGAGGCCTCGGCTAGCGCGCCGGGGCTCCTCCGCCCGCGGACGCCGCGCCCGAGCGAGCCAGCGAGCGAGCGGAGCCAGAGCGCTGCGGGCTCACAAAGCGGCCGGACGCGCGGCGGCGGGTGGCGGGAGCGCAGGGGAGCGGGCCGGCGGATCAGCCTTCTCTGCAACCGCGCCACAAGAGCTCGAGCAGCTCGGACGCGGGCACCCGGGCCGGCCCCCAAGGTACGTGCCCGCGGAACCCCGCGCCCCAACTTGGCATAGTTGGGACCTCCCCGCGGCCACCGGGGGGCTGGCAGGGTCAGGGCCTGGGGGTATCTCCGCGCGCCCCTCTTGCCGAGGCGGCAGGGCGGGCGAGGGGAGACCCTCAGCTCCAGGTACTCCCCCCACCCCCATTCTGCCAGAGCCTGGACTGCTGCTGGGAGCCCTGTTCCCCCTTCCCTACCCCAGAGCTCTGGGCACCGTCCATGGGAGTGCGGCTTGCGGATCAAGGGCTCCCCGTTTCTGGGGAGGGGTACCGATGCCCCTGATCAGAGAGTAGCAGTCTGTGGGGCACCCGGAGAATAGGTGACAGGGGTCCTCCATAGTTTGATAGCAGTCCCTAATTTGTGACGCAGCCTCCTCATTCGTAACTGAGCCCGCTATTCGTGAGAGGGGCCCCTAGGTTTCTAGATCCGCCCCAGGCGTGCGAGGGATGACCCTGTCCCCGCGGGCAGAGCCCCCGCCCCGATAGCTGGGGCCGGTCGCGGAGGCGCCCAGACCGCGGTGCCGGGCGAGGGCTCGCATCGTCCTGCGCTCCCCGCTGACCGCCCCCGGTGCCCCCTGCCCCGCAGATGCCAGCGATCGCGGTGCTCGCGGCGGCCGCCGCGGCGTGGTGCTTCCTCCAGGTCGAGAGCCGGCACCTGGACGCACTCGCCGGAGGCGCGGGCCCCAACAACGGCAATTTCCTAGACAATGACCAGTGGCTGAGCACCGTCTCCCAGTACGACCGGGACAAGTACTGGAACCGCTTTCGCGACGTGAGTACCGCCGCCGGGCCCTACGGGGCGAGGGAGCCTCTCTGAGAGGGGTCCTCTGACCCGGGTGGGGAGCGGACTGATGCAGACCGCCCACAGCGGCTGGTCAGTCTGGGCTTCCTGGGCTGCGTCTTGCCTGAGAGTAACTTTAAATAGAACTTCGAAGGCTTGATGCTCTTGCCTGTTACCTGTGGTCCAGGTGTGAGTATTTGTAGGTGGGGGGAGGTGGCTGCACTAAATGGAATGAACAGCGAGCGCTGTGGAGAGAGAGGCTCCCTCAGCTTCTGAGTTCTCCTAAGGTTAATGGTTGACTTTGCCTAGCACCCTAGAGAATCCCCTTGGGGCAGATTCAGACCATTTCAGGAGGGTACCCAAGAAGCCCTGCTGCAGAGGCTGGGTTTAGGGGTAAGCCCAGCTCATTTATTAGGGTGTTCCAGGTGTGAGAGGAGGTTTGGAGGGTCATGGCAATGGGCCTGATAAACTGTGTGGGAGCGTGGTGGCTTTGGCCCTTGGAGTCTTTAGGGGAAAGGAAAGGGAGCAGGCAGCTCATGCAGTTGGTCCTCTGTCCTGAAAGGGAGCCTGGGTGGCAGAGAATTGCTCCTTTGGGAAAGCCCTGGGAGGGGAGAAAGTTATTCCTGGGCATCCAGAGGCACACCTGCTGCCTATTTCTGCCCCAAGGCTGGACCTAGAGGATGGGGGCAAGAGGCACCTGGGGCAGTCTTTCCAGCAGATGGCATTCCCTCCGTGCCGTGGGAGCTGCTGCCAGCTCTTTTAAAGGCTACCCCAGGTGGCAGGGGCCTTGCCCTTCTGGGGGACTAGGAAAGAACTTTTATGGTACTTAACGTTAGGAATTCCTGCCCTTGTGAGACCCGCACCACAGAGCCCCTGTTCTTGTCACAGGGCACAGGCTCTTTGAGGTGGGAGACGTGTGGGAGTCGCCCTCCTTCACTGGATTCCTCAGCCCCATTCCCAGTTTCCCCAGCCCTTGCTGGGGAGAGTCTGAGGAATCCAGTGAATACAGATGTTCTCCTGTACTTTCTAAAGAGCACCTCTCCAGGTCCCATTCCAGAGGAGCAGGTGCACCCATAGCCTTGAGTGGGGGCTTGCTTATCTCTGCGCTCTCTGTTCCTCTTCTCCCTCCCTCTAGTCCAATCATGGGCTGCTTCTCTTTGAAAGAGGCTTTCAAACACTTTCAATGAACTTCCACAGTTATTTGGGGCCTTACTTCTGCAGCAGATATTCCCCCTGCCAGCACGCCCGAAGATTCCTGCCACACCTCCTCGCTGTGCTTGCTCTGTTAACCATCTTCGATCCCCTTTCTGTTCATCTCTGAGGAGCCCTGCGCTGATTACCTTTGCCTGTGGCTGAAAAGGATGCCCAAACTGTAAAGCTTCCATTCATGGGGTCACATGGGGTAGAAATAGTTTTGCTTCGTGTTTTTATCACATCGTTTTAGATAGAGTTGAGGAACAGGGCAGATGCTTATCTCCGCTAGACCTGGGAGAATTGGGTCAGGGGTAGAGGTGAAGGGCCATCTTTGCAGACGCCCTGGTTCGCATGGCAGCTGGGTGGAATTGAAAGCATCTGTGCTTGTTGGTCTTCGGGGGTGGGGGGTGGGGTAGAAAGGTTTACTGTGCTTTTGTGCCTGTTCAAGGTTTTCTAGTCTCAGTGTATCATAAGCATGACATTATTCTTATTTCACATTCAGCTTTAAATTTTTAAAAATTTGAGCTTCTCTTCATTTCTTGTTTTTCTTGTGAATGTTGACATTTTTTATCCTTGGAAGAGTGTTTTTCCAAAGCTTAGGAAGCTCACCTGGGGTGCTGGTAAAATCATAGCACCCAGACTCCTCCCCTGGAGGTTCTGATTCCATATTTCTGGAATGAGTGCTGGGAATCCATATTTTAAAGAAACATACTAGGTAATTCTTATGATGTTTAGGAAATACTACCTTAAATATTGTAAAAATGTCCAAAACTTAACTACAAAAAGAGAAAAGCTTCTATGTTCAAATATACTGCTTTTTTGTTTCTGGAGCAATTTTAGGTGTTAAACTAATATTTTTAGCAGCATATATTCTTTAAAAATGGTAATTTAATCCAGCATATCATTAAAAACATCTAAAAATGTTAAAAAATCCCAAACATATTCAACCATCAACCATTTTTTATGCTTCCTGGAGTCTAGCCAGACAAATTTAGTAAAATTTAATGCCATTAACCTCTTTAAAGTATTGTGAAACTCAAACTAGATGCTCTTTTAGGCCAAGTCCAAGAGTCTTCAGTTGGTTCATTTACTTGGAATAACCACAAAGCCTGCTCCCCTGAGACCAAGGAGTAAAAGGTTGCTTCCTATAGAAACCAGCTGTTCAGTGGGCAATGGACAAAGCCCCAGCTAGTGTTACAGTTACTCAGGCAGCCTGATCATCTTCACTGAGCCAGGCCTTGCTTGGGGATGACAAAGCTCAGCTTCTTTGCTATTATTTTAGATGTTTTTTGAAGCCACTGATAACTTGGAGAGGCTGTGTCCTGAGATTATTGTTATGATGCTTGTCAATTTTTGAAAGTCATTGTGAAGGAAAACTGCCTTTCTCCTGACATGTCACTTTTTTGCACTTGGGGGAGAGATATTTATAAGTAATTTTTGAACTTGTGAAACTGAAAACTAGGGGATCCTTTTATAGAGTTGAAGATATCCAGTGGTGGTTGTTACTGGGCTAATTTTGAGAGGGAAATGGTAGGCTTTGTGCTCCATGCTGCCCCGCCTGTTGAGCGTGCTGTGACATTGCCAGAGATGACCTTATAGCCACTACTTATTGCTTTGAAGTTGTCCTATTGCTCTAGGTACACAAAAAATTGCTATCTCCTTTCCAGAAGTAAAACTTTCACAACTACTCTATGGCTTGTTGCCTGGATCCAGGAGAGATGTAACAGTATTCATAAATTTGCTCCTCAATGTTTTGGTGGTCTGTTAGTTTGGTCGTTATTCTTTTAGAAAGACTAGCAATTGGGATGTTTTGGCCAGATGGGGACCCAGACTTTTGCAGAAATACAGTGTTAAGAAGGAAAAGATGAAGAAAGCAGATGTTTATATTAAGTTGTACAATAATTTCCCGCCTCCAACTGTCATGCATTTAACTGCTCTGTGGCTTGAGTTTGAGGAGTCAAGATGCCGCAACCACTCTCCTGATTTTTTTCTGAATCTGATTTGGCTTTCCATAACCATTATTGTCGGGAAATTTTCCTCTGTTCCTTCCTATATCCATTTGTATGTTCATTTGTTCCAACAAATGTTTGACTTCTACCATGTGCTAGGCAGTGGGCTATATGATGAGCAAGATAAAGAAATCTCTCCAGATAATCTTTTGTCTACTGGATGAAATCCTTTAACTAAAGAAATGCTATCATGCATTTCTTTCTTACTCTGTTTTCTTTTTTAAAAAATAATTTTTTTCTTACAAAAGTAATGCATGCTGGTTGTAGTTAGAAAATGAAAACATTGTGAAAATAGGTAATACCTGACATTTATCGAGCACTCAGTGTGCCAGACATTATTTAAGATACTTTACATATATTATCTTATTTAATATTCATAAAAGTCCTAGGAGAGAAGTACTTTTATTACCCTCCATTTACTGGGAGATGAAGTCTCTTGCCCAGAGTTACAGAGCTGGGTTGTAGAGGATGCTGGACCAGAACCAGGCGGTCTGACTCTAGATTCTCGCTATGCACTGCAGCTAGTCAAGAGTGAAGTGGATTCTGGGTGTGAACCTCCATTGGTATCACATTGCAGGTCTTTCGTGCTTTACGTCTGAGGGCAATTAGACAAAGTGGAGTGGGAAGCCAGGTGGACCCAGCTTATTGTAGGAGTCACATCAGGGCTTATCTTCTGCTAATAATGAGCTTCTGATTTGATTAAAATAATATTGTTGCTTACACCAAACATGACATTTTCTTTCTTTTGCACACATGAAACTAGCCCTGACATTTAACTCCAGGATAATTACCTTCAGCAGGCCCGAAGAATCAGAAGTGTTGCCTTGGCTGGCATTTATCTTACTCTGGAGTGACCTGAGTTTGTAATTCTAATGAGACCACAAGGACCGGCCTGTGTTCTTTTCCTTCTGGTGCACACTCAGGGGGATTTGGTGGTCTCTGTAGCAGAACTGGGGTGGCAGTGAGCATCTGATCTGCTCATTTGATCTTAACATTCAGCTATACTGAGTTCCAAGGGCAAGTGAGACTTATTGATAGAGAAGAGTAGCTGGCTCTGTTGGTGGTGTTGGTGGCAAGAGACGTGGTGTGGCTTAGTGGATCAGTCGTTAATCTGTCGCAACAGAAGCTCGGCTTGTAATAGAGAGTAGCAGAAAATCATTTTGATTAAACAGGTTCAAGGAGACTTAAATGAGTTTGTGATCCTGACTCTCTTTAATGAACCCACTATCTTAAATCCCCTTACTAGATGACCACTGATAGAAATAATTATTTCACAAGAATCATTGTAAAGGGACAGTCTGAAAGTTGACAGGCCTGAGACCATTCTTATATTCTCTGTCCTTACCTTCGGTTCTTGCCAGAGAAAACCTAGGTCTCGCCTGGCAAGGACGGCAGAGCTTCTTGCTCCCGTTGACATTCCCAGCTTGAGCTCCCCTGCCTCTCCTGGTCCTCCCCCAATCCTGCCCCACAGTACTTCAGCTGAACTGGATTTGCCGGGAGGTAAGTACTCTCCTATATGCTGAGGAGATTATTTCAAAAGCAAGAAGTGGTCCCAAGTGGATGACGGGACCTGAAGTACTCCCCTAGAGGAGTGGGACCTAATCATTAGCTCAACTATTTTATCTTGCTTGGGGAGACGAAGTAATGTGAGTAATTAAGTATTTTATGTAAGTCATTTCTTATTCCTTTATTCAATATAATATATTTCAAACCAAACACACTCAATATCTAAACCTGAACACCTCAGGATGACTCATTTTACCTTTGCTCTGGTGAGGTGATTTTATA